AATGATAAAGAATATGCTGTAAAGAGTGTGTCGCAGAGTATGCATGTAGGTCTAAGTCTAACAAATCACTTGTTTACAACACTCGTGGTCAATGACATTACTTAATGATTAAATTCAAAATTCTGGTTCGGTATTGCGACTGTGAACTTCTATCGGTAACATTGGTGAACATGCGAGTTCATAATGAACAAGATGTCATTAGTGTAAGATGTTTGCGCCTTTGGTGGATTTTGCTAAATTGCATCCCAAATTACAGCACACTAGCTTTTGTGAAGTCATTAATGTAATCACTTTTCTAGTTTTAAACACTTGAATTTTCTTTTGATAGAGTGTTATTTTGCTGCACTGACTTAATTTATTTTATTGGTTTTACGTTTTATTTCCAACCAATATTAACTATTGATTTGGATGATCCTAATTTATATAAGCAGGTATTTTCTGGCCCTCCAGAAGGAACTTGAAAGCTATGATTGTGTCCTTTATGAGATGGTGGCTAGCAGGGAAAGTTTAGAGAATAGAAGAAACGGTACAGCTACAAAAAGGTTAAAAGGTTCACGCACCAAGGGTTTTAACCTTTTGGGATGCATCCAAAGACAGATGGCTCGAATTCTTATGCTTGATTTCCAGTTAGATTGTCTCGATTACCAGTCTTCGAATTGGTACCATGCAGATCTCGATTATGAGACCTTCAAATTACTTCAGGTCTTAATCTGCTAATTTTATTGCTTAATCCAATATGGTGCTCAGATTATGAAGGCTGTTCTAAATAAAATAATTGTGGTGTTGTTGTTCTTTCAAGCCAATATATGATTCCATATATTGCATTTAGTGTTATTTGAATTCTCATATATAGCTGATAACCGTCATCTGAAACCATCAAATAATTTGAATGACTTCCATTGAAATTTGAGCACTTGAACTTTATATATTTTCCTTGTTCAGGTCTAATTTCTTCCTTTAATTTCAGCTTGAAAAAGGTGAAAGTTTCTTTTCTTTTGCAAAAGATATGACTCTTAGGTCTACAAAGGCAGTATTGCAGCCAGCTACAATTCCGGAAGATCTTGATCCATGGCGATCCAAGCTTTTATGGGCTTCACGTGTTCTTCCTATGCCACTTGTTGGCCTTCTTATCATTGGAGGTGTTTGTACAGATGTGGGAAGTCAAGCATCAGAATATCCAGAAATAGAGGCATTGTCAAGGCTTGATTTTGGTGCTGCCATGAAGGTCTTCCTTGCAAAGAGACTAACATCTGAGTAAGTTTCTGATATTTATTTCTTTTTATCCACCTCTCTCTCTTTTCATTTTGGACCTCTATACATTTATTCAGACTCTTGTTTCTTTAGATTGAGTCATGAGAACATACTCTACATTTTCATTTGAAAATTGAAAGTATATTCCAAGGCATGAAGCTTTGTTGATTATTTTCCCTTATTCTGCACTTGTAGAAACTATATAAACATATTTAAATAAACTTTTTCAAAAATACTTATAGGAGAAGAAATAAGAAGGAAAAATGAAATTAGCTTTTCCACAAGATAAAATTAGCTTATACATAAGCTAGTTTGTAGAAGCTCTCCCATATTAATTTTTTCAAAAACTTATTTTTAACTTGTGCATAAATTAATTTTAGCTTATTAATTTTTTCAAAAACTTATTTTTAACTTGTGCATAAATTAATTTTAGCTTATGAAGAGATTTATTTTATTTTCTCTTCTTAATTTCTTTTCTTATAAGTATTTTTAGAAAAAATTATCCTCTTATAAGTACTTTTAAAAAAATTTATCCAAACATACTCATGATAATATTACTTTTCTTTTGTTGGGTCACTATTAAAAACTTTGGTACTGATGATGACATTTTCTTGTTTAGGTTCACTCTGGTTACAGCAGATGTAGAGGAGAAATCAGTTATAATTGGTGAGAGAAATAGAGTAGCAATAGAGGCCTTGAGAGCAGCAATGGACAAGGGACACAATAGAATTGCAATACTTTATGGGGGTGGCCACATGCCAGATCTTGGGAGGAGATTGAGAGAGGAGTTTGATTTAGTGCCATCCAATGTACAGTGGATAACAGCTTGGTCCATAAGGAAAAGGGACCTAAATACTAATTCATTTCCATTTCTTAAGACAATTGCTAAGGCTTCTGGCTGGCCATTGAACCGCTATCAGACATTGGCATTGCTCATCTTTTCATCAGTCTTAGCCTTGGATCTTTGGTTTTGGGAGCTTTTCTTTGGCACTGCAGTGAATTGGATCTCTGAACTTGGCTCAGAACTTATCCGATATGTTGGTAATTCACCGATGATATGATTATGATCATTGGAATCAGAAAATTAGTACTAATTGTTAAATAGGATGAAGAAATCTTGTATGTGCCGGTGTAAATATGAAAAGCTTTATTTTTGTTAAACAAATATAAAAAAAGAATCAGCTGTTCCCATTTCTTAATGTATTCAAATGATATGATTGTTTTCATTCAATGAACATTAGCCATTAAAGATATGTTTTATTGGCTTAAAAATATCTTCCCAGTAGTGACTTACCTAATTGCACTTTTACTATCCTCACAAAGAATTCTGCAAACTGCAATATCAAGTTCATATACTCATTTTGGGTACACCACCATAAAACAAGATTTGGACATAATATTTGCAATTTTACATACGTCATACGAGAAATCTTTTGCTTAGGCACAAATATTAATGATATAATACTTAGTTATTCATATCACAATTCCCAAAACATGTGCAGTTTATAACGGTACAACCTCAGTTCACAAAAACACTGCGATTACATTGCTACAAATACAAGAGTCATTGTTTTAAAAATGAATTTGACAAAATTGCTAATTTCTGGCACACCAAACTGTAGAATAGCGTTTTCTTATTGTAATTTTGTACTTGTATCTCAAATAAGACATAGTATCTGCAACTATATTTTCTCCATTTAAGCGCAAAACACTACTGATGAAGACAAAAGGTAGAGGAAATATCTACTTCTAAGATGAGTACTTATTCTAGTTTTGAATATCTCCACAAGTTTCTCAATTACAAATTCTAAAAATTGAATTATATTACTCTGGTCTAGGTCGGGAATGTGATAAGAGAGATCAAAATTAGCACTTCCAACTTGACAAACCAAGTTACCCTGAACAGTCAGCTTCCAACAATGCAGTTTATGACTACCAAGCACCCCAAGATCTTGGTTATTCAGGTGCTGCAGCACCAATATAAAAGTCAATTTCAAAAATTAGAATTACAAATTAAAAAAAAGTAATTCTAATGCCATTACAATCTAATGCTTCACTCAAAATTAAAATTTACCTTCAATTTGACATCAAGACATAAAAGTCAAGATGTGATTCTCCTCCTCATTCAATAGAAGAGCTTTCAGAATTATAAACTTGTTGGAATTTTCTATCAACTACTCAATTTCTTTTAGTCGAAGTATGCTATCAAGACATAGGATATTCTTCAATTCATTCAACACTTCAATTACCACTTTTTAACTCTTTTTTTTTTTTTTAATCTCCATCTTCTCTTTAATTACTTGCACAAAATCTTTTAGTGACTCAGTCATTTCTTTCATTGAGAAAATCATTTCTTTAAAACCTGAAATTACTGTTTTTATTATTTATTGAATTTTAGTTTTGGTTCTTGTAAATTTTTTTTTTTGAACTTCATCCCTCCAAAACCTAAAATAACTTATTTGGGTCATTAATGTTTATTTTAAAATAAATAAATAAAATTTATTTTAAGTTTTTTAGAAAACCCAGTGGTAACACGTGGTGACATATAAAAATAATGAATATCACTTGAGGAATAAAAATAACTTTTTTTCTTACAAGGATACTAAAATTAAAACTTACTTATTTCAATTTTTTTTTTGGCAATGACTTATTTTATATTGATTAAAAACATATTTAAGTGTATTTGAAATCATTTTATAATAAACTTTAACTAGATTCTCTGGATACACACAACTAAATTAACGTGGATTTTAAAATTAAATTGATTCCTATATATTTTTATAAATTTGGTGTGATTCGAATCAGTCATGTAAACTGTTATGACTTATGTGGCAAAGAACCAAATCCAAAGCCAACATCATACGTGATATTCTAACATTCGATTTCATGCGAGTTTGAAGAAAAACGTTTCAGAAACAAAGATCCGGCTCTGATAACAAATAATGAACGTGTAGAATCATTCTACAGATGTTAGGATGTAAACAAAGTCTCATATTATTTAAAGAAGAGGATAGATACGAGCCATTGGTAGAATTTTTTTTTAAATAATGTTTAAAAATATAATCGTGAAGACTGAATCTAAAACGGACAATATCTTAACAATGTGAAGACACGTTGATGCCACATATAATTAGTTTAGTTGGCACTTAGCCGTTGGTTTTTTTTTCTTCTATTTTTTACCTTTTCATACTTTTTTTCTCATGTGACAAAAAAAAAATATCAATCCAGGAAAAAAGTTTTTTCTTTTCGCTAATCCGGGAAAAAGTCTCAACATATAAAAACTTTGTTGGATGGGTTGAATCCGCAGCTACTTTTTCCTAAGTAATATATCCATACAAAGCCAATGAAGGAAGGTTTTTCCTAAGTGATATTTATAATAAAGAGAGAAGAAAAAATATATTAAACTTTTTCATTAATGAAAATTAATTTATCCTCTTAACTTTTATAAAAGAAAAATACTCTTTTATTTGACTTCTTTAAAAACTAAGATGTATAATTTGGCTTTTACTTGTGAAAAAATTCATGTTGATAAATTTTTATTCTATGAACATTTATAGAGGCATTTTCTCAAACAAAAATATTATATTCAATAGTGAGATTCAAAACATAATACAAAAATTATTTTTGACATCCAAAAGCTTACTACACATAGAGAGAGACAGAAAAGAAAGAGAAAAAAAAAACATGACAGATGATGTGATATATATAATAGAAAAAAGAGAGATAATTTTTTTTTAAAAGATCTTAATTTAATATTTAGAAAGTTATTATTTTTTCTATCTTGACTATACATTTATTTTTTCCATATAAACCACGTGTTTAATCCACTAGAAACATTCCTATTTAAATTGGATAGGATCACTTTTAAATGATTTTTTTTTTTCTTTCGAGTATCTAACATACTTAGACTCAATTCAAGATCAAAGTTAGAACAATCTTTTACAAGTTGATAAATATACTTGGTGGTATCTTTGTATTATTACACGTGATTAAATTTGCTCTTATGCTCCATTTACTTGGGTCAACACAACAGCTTGGTCACGTTACGATACATATGTAAATATTGTTGGAAATAAAATTTAATAGAACAGATAAAAAATAAATACTTACATTTATCAATAAGATCAATATCAACAACATAATAAATACTTTAAAATTAAAAACAAAACAATCAATAACTACTAATTGAACATAAAAAGTAATTAAAATATTAGATAATAAGATTAAAGTAGTCTGGGTTGAAGCATGTAAAACGCTATTCTTAGAGAGAAAATACCTCTACTACATTGATAATTTTGAGTCTTATAGTGCCCTTCTCTCCTAAGATACGTCAACCTGTTAGATTGATCGAATACAGTGAAAGATCCACAAACCAAAGAATACTGCTCCAAAAAATATATTTTAGTAGTAAAAATAAATTTGAGGGAGCGATAAGTGAACTTGTTGTGTATCTGTCTATATTTTTTTTCATGTACCAATGTCTATATATATTGGCACAATATTAGAGAATTTTTATGCAAGATAAAGGATGTGCACCACTCTTTTGCATGCTTTCTGGTAACAACAAAAAAGTGTACGTTGTGCACTTAGATATTGCTAACCAATTAGAAAATTGGAGATTTGGTTACAGTAAAAGAAAGTCCATAAGACTTGGTCACAAGTAAAGAAATCCATAATGGTTTTGGTTCTTGAAACTTTAAAATATTAAATAAAAACAAAGATTAATTAAAATAAATATTTAATTTAAATTTTAAATTATAAGATAATTTCTCAACAATGCCCCACTAATTTAAAATTTAAATATGGAAAAAAGATGATATATATATATATATATGGTGCTTGGAACGGCCCATTCCATAAACTTAAACATTTTAATGGAGCATTATATATTATATTTTTAATACAAGGAACCTTCCAGGTTTGAGTCTTATACTTAGTGTATATGAACTTCCATCTGAGCGAGTATGGAGACAGGATTGTCTTGAGCCATATCCCTTTGACCAAATTTTAGAACATAACACGTATAATAAAGGTGTTCATTTGAGTTCTAATCAGTGGAATGCATTACGTCCTTGCACATATATCTTATTTCGTGAGTGTCACTTAGAGATTGCCCGTATCTCATAGTGGCGGCCCCACTACCACACTCACTAGGTGAACCCTTCCAATGGTGGTCTATGATACCCACCCTTACAACAATTACCATTAGGTCCATTAAGAGCTATTTTTAATTTTAACACAATAAATATAAATATTTGAATACCTCAACCTTATTATTGTCACAATTTACTTTAGAGTATACCTCGCCATAGGAATGAAACATGCAATAATTTTGTAGTTTACAATGGTGTACTTAGTTAACAAACAATTTCGTTATTACTCATTAAACCATTTATGGGATCACCATTTATGTGGAGATGGGTGTCCATTGTTGCAACTAATTGATGGACTTTAGTCCCATTCCCCTTGACGATTCAAGTACTTGTTGATGCGTCAACCCTTTTGTGAGTAGATCCGCAAGATTATTTTCAGACCTAATAAAATCAATAGAAATAATACCATAAGTTATCAAATTTCTGATAGATTTGTGTCTTGTTCTCAAGTGCCTTCTTTTTTCAGTAAAGTTTTTGCTAGTAACTTTAGCAATAGCAACTTGACTATCACAATGCATTGAGATTGGAAGTATAGGTTTATTTAACAATGGCAAGTCATAATAAATTTTTAAGAAATTCAGCCTCACTACTAGCAGTATTAGGCAATTATTTCAGCTTCCATAGTAGAATAATAAATAATAGTTTGTTTTGCAAATTTCCAAGCTATTGTACCTCCAGCTAAAGTAAAGACATAGCCACTAGTAGATTTAGTTTCGTCAGATTCAGAAATCCAATTTGCATCACTAAAACCTTCAATTACAGCAGGATAACATGCATAATGAATGCCATAATTAATAGTTCCTTTAAGATATCTAAATAACCTTTATAGAGCAAGCCAATGTAAATGATTAGGATTATGAGTATATCTTCCTAACCTACCAACAACATATGCAATGTCCGGTCTTGAGAAATTAGACAAATGCAACAAGGAACTAATAATTTGAGAGTATTTAAGAGGAGAGACACTTTCACCAATATTTTTCTTCAATTTAATACTATAATTAATCAAATGGGATAGAAACTGGTTTCACATCAAAATAATTAAGCTTTTTAAACAATTTTTCAATATAATGTGATTATGTTAAAACAATACCATCA